ACAGCTCACGACAGTTATATTTTTGGGTCCCTCTGCGCCTTTACCACAGATACTGTCTTTCTGGATTATCCCTTTCACCCTACTCCCACACTTGGCTCCACCTTCTGGGAACCCCTCCCCACTCAAACTAATGACTTTGCAGGAAGCAGAGTTCAGAGGGATAACTGTCTTTTGAAGAGAAGAAACTCAGTATTTTGAACAGAAAGAGAAAAGAAAACTTTGGGAATTCATAACCTAACACTTAGCACAAATCCTGGCACTGTGTTTTTTATTTTATCAATATAACAGACGAATAGCAAACTTAGCCAGGATGAAGCGTATCGAAGCTTTTCTATGTTCACGCATGTCCTTTTCAAAAAAAAAAAAAATTTTTTTTTAACGTTTATTTATTTTTGAGACAGAGAGAGACAGAGCATGAACGGGGGAGGGTCAGAGAGAGAGGGAGACACAGAATCCGAAACAGGCTCCAGGCTCTGAGCTGTCAGCACAGAGCCCGATGTGGGGCTCGAACTCACATACCGCGAGATCGTGACCTGAGCCGAAGTCGGACGCCCAACCGACCGAGCCACCCAGGCGCCCCACGTATGTCCTTTTAAAATAAGCAAAACCTCATGCTTTATCAAAATTCAAGAAATAACAATAAATATTAAATGAACATCCACCTGTACAAAGGCACTGTATGCATATCCTCATTACCTTGCCAGACTCCAGTATATGGCATGCTGGCTCACAGTAAGTTCCTAATAAATTATTGCCTGTCACCTACATTTCAACATCAAAGAAAATGGGAAGCAGGAAGAGTAAACTACTGGCCCAGAGGCAGGAACCCGCTCCTGCCAATAGTAAAATGGGGATTCGAACTCAGGACATTCTGGCTGCAAAGCCACAGTGTTGCCTCTTTCTACTCTCTCAATAACTCTGAAGTACTATAGCACATGAGTAAATGGGACACTTTAAGAGATTAAATGACTTGTTAAAAAAAAAAAAAAAAAGAGGTTAAATGACTTGTCACTCAGGGGCAATGTGGGCTGAGACTCCAGTTTCTAATGACCTTCCTCCTCAGCCTCTTACAGGTGACCTTAGGGATGTGATCATGTGGATAAGACAGGTTTTTGGACAACCAAGGCTTAACACTACTTCCTGAATGCACACGTTTTAAGCAGAGTCACGATTACAAAGTATGGTAACTTTGAACATAGGAACAACCTTCTCAGACCTATCTTGATATCCCTCCTTAAGACTAAATTAGCTGCTCATCACAAAGTTAGATAAGCAACGGATGAGTAAACAACACCTCCCTGCTTCAGGGACTGGAGTGTGCGCCTGGCTGAGCCCACACCACCACACTCCACTTTCCAGACGGCCAGCCAAGCCATCCTGTTGGGTTGTGTGACATCCCTCTAGGTCAATCCGGACAGTGGCCAGTAAACCTTCCTCTCCTGCTCTAGCCCTTTCTTCCCATCTGCAGTCCAAACTTGAATGTTTAGCCCCACTCTGTGACTCTCATCTCCAGCCAGAGAAACCCAGACAACCAAAAACTTTGGAAAGAACAGCGTGCTCTAAACCAGGGAACGAAAAAAAGTGCAGGGACTCCGGGGAAACTTTTTATTGGTAGGTGACAGTTTTGCAATTATAGTTTTAAGGCTAGTGTAGAAGACTGACCTCCATGGGTGGATTAGCAAGGAAAAAAAAACTTTTTCACGTAAGTTTATTTTTTTCCTTAACTGTCTTTTTAAAAAGTGTTTAAAACTTGAGAAGGAGATTAGCCCCTTGAAAGCTAAATTGATTGGGATCAAAGATCTTAAAATGGGTTAGGAACACTGCTGAAAGGCATGCGTAAAAATGACAGAGCTTCTTTTAATGGTAATGCCACATTGATAAAGCAGGAATTTCAGTCATTTACTTAGAAATAAATTCAGCTTTAAAAAAGGCATAAATTCAGTGTAGAATGTGTCAGTTAAAATGTCTGTAAAATGTATAAAGATCAAGCAAAGTTCACTGATTGGTCAGGAATTCTTTCTCCAAATTAAGTCCTGGAAAGTCATCCCAGAAACCTCAGATCAGATTTTAGGCACATGATGACACATTTGACTACACTAAACCAAAGATGCCAATCTGGTTTCAGAGTGCCGGGTTAATGATAAATTACTCCCTCCTCAGTGTGATAATGGCTCTACTCTGCAAACAGGAAATCCAGAACACTGGAGAAAAGGGAATCATTAAAGATCACAGAAGTCTTGTTTAGAGAAGAATCTGGTCCTGTCTAGCTGCCTGCTTCACTCTCTGAAATACAATACAAGTGGATATTTTGAAGTTTAAAACCTGGAAAAAGAGATTTGTAAGCTGGTTTTTGACATTTCTGTATTACTCCAATTTTAACTATGTATCAGGCTTGTAATTTTTCAAATTTTAAACAGAATTCCCTGGTTTTGGGTCAGGTTGCTTCCATTTGAGGTTTCTAGGGAAAAGTCTCTGAACTTCCTGAACACAGAGTGTTGAAGGTACTCTCTGGAAGGTACTCTGAATAACTGGTGGGAAGAGGACCTTGCCTCCTACAGGTATATTTAAATGGCGTCAGGGGCGCCTGGGTGGCGCAGTCGGTTAAGTGTCCGACTTCAGCCAGGTCACGATCTCGCGGTCCGTGAGTTCGAGCCCCGCGTCGGGCTCTGGGCTGATGGCTCAGAGCCTGGAGCCTGTTTCTGATTCTGTGTCTCCCTCTCTCTCTGCTCCTCACCCGTTCATGCTCTGTCTCTCTCTGTCCCAAAAAAATAAATAAATGTTGAAAAAAATAAATAAATAAAAAATAAATGGCGTCAAGCTGCAGAACTGACAGCAAATAAACAGGTGTTATTGTCTCCTTCCAACCACACATGTAAGAGTTCAGATTACTTCTATTTTCCTCTAACTCTCCAACGAAATCATGCTATTTCAACTTCAGGTTGATTTCTGATTTCACAAAACAAATCCTAGTAAATATCAAGTCCAGAGATCACCTTCAGAGCTTCTCTTCCAGTAGAATCTTCAGAGATAAAATCTGCACACACTTGGTAACATTTTACACAGAGCTTGTGGACACAGGGAACACAAAGTGACTCTAGCAAGAGAACATGTTTCACAGGAATTTCACCTACAGCCATAAATATGAAAAGTGCCTCAACTCATTGGGAGAGATAAGACTTTTTTTTTTTTTTAAGAAATAAATATTTGGCTCCCACTCATCAGTCCAATAACAATGACAAGTCCTAAGACCCCAGCATTTTTAAGGTATACCTCTGACAAATGCTCACCAAAGACTCTGGCCAAGTCTATTATTCTAGATCTTTTTGATCAACTGCAGCTGCCTAAGATTCAGCAAGCCTGGAAAATGGGATACATTGTTGCTCAATTACTGATAAGGCCGACTATAAACCAGTGGTAAGAAAGGCTGGTTTCAGAAAAGCTGGTTTCATATACTGCTTTGCTTCTAAGAACTGGAGAAAACTTAGTAACTAGCCAAACAGCTTCATTCAAAGGGAAAGAAACCCAAGGCCAAAGAAGTGATTCACCCCAAGCTTTACTGTTTATGACTTATGAGAACCTCCAGGTGCCTATGGCAGATGATAACATGACTTGCAGTTCCCCCCAGACAGTTCATTGTTCATAATGCATGGTGGCTAACACATTTGGGGGATTTCATGTGGGTGCCCAAGCTCACAGTACCAGAACTAGCAGCTCTGTAGTCTGACTAGTTACGACAGCGGAGCGGAAGCTCCGCCCGGACTTCCCAGGGATGAATTCAGGCTCTCGCACTTTCTACTGATGTGACTCTGGGCAAGTCACTTAACCTCTCTCTGCCTCAGTTTTCTGAGCTGTAAGTCAAGGATTATCATAACATTTCCCTTAGGGGCTGGGGTGAGAAATGAACAAGATAATGTAACATAAAGTGTTCACTCCGCACGGGGCCCTGCACAAAAGCAGTACTCAAAAAATGTTGGCTATTACCGACAGACACGATGCACACCAACATTTACGCACGACACACATTTGACTGGTTTTGTCTAGAACTTTGTCAAACTTGGCTAATTACGATCGCTGGGAAAAATGAGAGGGAATTAACGGTTCTCTAGCAGGGCTGGGAAGACCGAACCCGGCAGCTTAGAGATAAAAGATCCACCTTATGACCTGACCTTGGAAGCCTTCCTGCCCTTCACGCTGATGTCAACGGGGCTGGTCAGCAAGAAATGAAACTTCCTGGGCCCCTACTACGTGCCAGGCACAGCGTGAGACCCTATCTCTTACTGGGTGAGGAAACAGGGTGCAAACACTCGGCGTGTGGAAAGCGGCGCGCGTGCTGAGGCCGTGCTTGGGGCACCGCCTGCTTTTCCTGGCTTTACGGCTTCTTCCTAAACTGAGGCCTCCGAATTGAGGCTGTAGGTACGGGAGGCTCTTCCTTCAATTTCGGGACAGCAGCTCAGGGGACAGGAGGACACAAGCCACGTGCCTCGGGGCCTGAATTCACTTCAGAAGCCGGACGTCCCCATGGATACTCGGGAACCGGACAGACCCCCGTGGGAAGGTTTGCTGGTGGCTTTGACCTTGGTGCCTGAGACTCAGTTTCCCATTCTGCCGGCCGGGGGCGATGACCTAGCCCCTCAGCCAAGGTGAGTTTGTGAGCCGGACGAGGCACCGGGTCCTGGAGGGCCGGGAACCCCACTCCAAGAGCCTCCACCTCGGGGAGCCTTCTTCCTCCTGCGGGTACCGGGGCCTCTGGCCTTGCCAGGACGCGGCGCCCAGGCCGCCGAGAGCAGGGGCAGAGGCCGGCGGGACACCCCCAGTGCAAGGGTCGGGGCAGTGGGGACCGCCCGGTCGGCGGCCGGTCGCGCATGTCGGACGGGGTCACGCGGCCTCCCCCGCCAGGTCCCGGCCGCCCGTGGCGGGGACGGAGCGGTGGCCGCCAGCCCGGCCCTCCCGAGCCACCGGGCGCGGCCTCCGCCCAGACGGCGTCCCGCCGCAGGCCTCACCTCCCTGCGCACGTTCAGCAACGAGTAATAGTCTTCATTGTCCAGCTCCTCCTCGCTCAAGGCCGTCGCCATCTTCGCAACCTTTCACCCCGCCAAACCGGCAAGGCCGTGCCCAAGAGGGACCGGCGAGCCGCGGCCCCAACAGCGCGGGCCAGCCCGCCTGCGCCACAGCGGCCCCTGGCGGACCGGAGTGGCGTCGCCGCCGCCCGCGCATTGCGGCAGCGCGCCTGCGCCCTGCGCCCCCGCGCGGCTGAGGGCGGGACGCGGCGCCGGGGGCCAGCCACGTGCTGCTCGCGATCCTGAAGCCAGCCCGGCTCAGCGGGGACCGGACCGGGACGTTGCGGTCACACCTGGGGACTCCCTGTGTGCCCCACGACCTCTCCCTTGTCTCACCACCCCTTCCTCCCGCCGGCTACCGGTGCGGCGAGCATCCTGTCCCAAACAGCCCTACCTAGGCCACCCCCGTGAGGGCCACCCCGGCCCGAGACTCCTCGAGGCCCCACTTGCTGTCTCGTCTTTGCACAGGAAACCCCCAGAACGGGATTGGTTCCTGCCTCCGTTGTTCTTTGTCTTTTCTCGCGGCCGTCCAGAACCCTGCCCAGAGGACCAGCCTCCTCATTATCGTTTTTTATTATTGCCCTATATTTAGGAGCACCTGACCATTTTTTCTGCTTCTTAACTGACGAGGCAATACCCATTTGGTTCCTAACATAATTGTCTCTGGCAGGCATATATACCTTCAGTCCCTATCCCAGAGCCGTCGTCTTGTAAATTTCTACCTTATAATTTAGCGGTGGAGTCTAATTGATTTCAACCTGGTGCCTGCTGTTTGGTGCATTATTAAAGACGTCTCGGTTACAATCATCTAAATAATTTAAATGTCTTCGAAAGGATGCAATTATCAAGAGAAGGTGGACAGCAGAGCTCCCATACTCTTGCCACCTGTTTGGTTCATGCTGACCTGTATCCATTCCTCATTATTTCTCAGGAATGTGTGTTGTTCCTTAACTAAGGATCAGTTTAGAACCATCCCTGTTGCCCTTCCTAAGCAGGTCCCCTGGGAAGCCCCAAACACCTGTCTGTGGATTTGAGAAGTTGATTTCTTTCTCTTTCTAATTTTTGGCCAGATGTTCACCATCTGGGTCTGTGTGTGGTCCCTTCCAAGTTGCCCACCCCTCTCAGGATCTTTTGGCATTGAGACACATAGGTGTGCTGAGGCAGGTTTATTGAGTCAGTCTGGAGCCGACCTCTGCCCGGGGTTGCAAAGGAAGAGCTGTTTCTCTAGCTGTGTGAGGCTTCTCCGCAATAGCTTCCGCAGACCCTCACGTTCCGCAAGCTATCACAGCAATTTTTTACGGTCTTTCTTTTTTCTCCTTTGCAGAACAGTGATTAGGGCTAAGCTGCTTGCTGACATTTGCTGGTCTTTAAGAATTTCTTACAGAGAGGCTGGGGGGAAAAAAAACTACAATGTTGAGACATTCCTTTTTTCCTTAGGTTTGTAGACGTTAATTGGGCCATAATGCTCAGTTGGGTAGAGAAATTCCTTGCTATCCTTCTTCTGCTTTGGAAAACACCGCCTCTAGGAATTATATAAACAGAACCTAACATATGTTTCAGAACGTTCAGGTCTGCGTTTCTATGATTGAGGATGACCTGGTTTTTATCATCACCCGAACAAAATAAATAGTGACTCAGGGATGCTCTGTGTTTGTCCTCTCTCGGGCCCATGATGCTTTGTAGTATGGTTACTTGGAAAGTGGTTGTGACGAATGGAAAATAACTTAGATACACCACAGGCCTGAGAGTAAATTTATTTTGGAGGTTGGCTGTTTTGTTTCTCCCTCCAAAAACCCTAATCTCTGATGGGCAAAATAATGGAAACCAGGAACAGCACAAATTGATAAGTTACCACACCCATTCAACCGTTACTCGTGCCAGAGCAACGGACGAAACTCAGCCACATTAACTCATTGCCTTGCATTTTTTAAACTTTATTTATTTATATATGAGACAGAGACAGAGAGAGCAAGTGGGGGAGGAGCAGAGAGAGAGAGAATCCCGAGTAGGCTCCATGCTGAGAGTGCTGATGCAAGGCACAAACTCAAACTGTGAGATGATGGCCTGAGCTGAAATCAAGAGTGAGGCATTTGAGGTGCACCTGGGTGGCTGAGTCCGTGAAGTGTCTGACTCTTGGTTTTGGCTCAGGTCACGACCTCATGTTTTTTTGTTTTTGTTTTTAAATTTTTTTAACATTTATTTATTACTGAGAGACAGAGAGAGACAGAGCATGAGCAGGGGAGAGGCAGAGAGAGGAGGAGACACAGAATCCAAAGCAGGCTCCAGGCTCTGAAGCTGTCAGCACAGATCCAATGCGGGGCTCAAACTCACGGACGGCGAGAGCATGACCTGAGCTGAAGTCGGACACTTAACCGACCGAGCCACCCAGGTGCCCCATCGGGTTTTTTTTAAAAGAGTCAGGCACTTGGGGCGCCTGGGTGGCTCAGTTGGTTAAGCGTTAAGCGTCCGACTTCGGCTC